ACAATCCATTCAAAAATAACAAAGTTACAGCCAATAATAGCAAGAACAAGCAAAATTTTGACTTTCGACCTTGAATGTCAAGGTCATTTATGGATGAAGGTCAAGGTTAGTGTGGTCTACTGAAAGGTCTTGTCCCAAGGGTTGTTGTGGCCAAGTATGAAGACAATACACCAAGAACTAAAAAGTTATGATCCAGGTACAAGTTTGCGGACGGCAATGGCAACAGGTACGGCAACGGTAACGCCGCCAGGACTACCTCTACTTTTTTAAAAAAAATAGTCGAGCTAAAAACGATGCACAAAATCGCGAAACTTCCAAAATAATTGCAAGTATGCAAACCTTTATTTCCATACAAATATGATAAATGACCAGAATCGGGAATTGTTGATAAGATAAGAGACATTAAAATACATGCCTTTTCACTGATCAAGGCACTAGAGATTGTTTGGTGCGGCAGTCTTATCATAACTTCAAAAACCTTTGCCGACGTGGTGCGTACGTGACAAACTGTACTGTACACTAGAAAATTAAGGCGGAGTCATTTATGCAGACAGTTGACAGCTTTGTCGGGTATAATAAATGCCTTAATGATAAAGATGTAAGATAAATAGCCGAGCATAATATTTAGCAAATGTGAATAAAAACGATACTAAGCTATTTTGGCCAATTTCCATAGAACTTTCGGTGTTGATCCGTAGTGCATATTTTAGTCATCAAATCCGTAGAAATAATTAACGGACAAACCGTACAAGTAAACAGGTCTGCTTTTGAATTGTTTTTGTACAAGTAAACAGGTCTGCTTTTGAACTGTTTTTGAAATAATTAATATGTGTGTTTTTTAATCAATTATCTTATTATTTGCTGAAATCAATTACCATAATCTCGACTCCATATTTTCGACTTTCATATAATTTTGAAAAGTGCCGCACGGTTAGACAAAACAGTGTGTCCTGGCTAGCCGTACGTGACTCGCGTACGTACAGCTACACGCCCGGCAAACTGTCGCTCCACTTCAAAATTGTGGTGTACGGTAAAACGAGCGAACGGCATTTCCGAGATAGAGCGGAAGGCCGATTTAAACTAATAATTGCAAGTGTTGTTTATGTTTTTGTCTTGTTATTCATTTAAGTTGTATTTTTTCGAAAAACGGAAAATGTAGTTCCGTGTAGGATTGTTTTAGGCTTTCAATGATCTAAGCTGTTACAAAAACAAAATTATATTTAGCCCGGGAGAACTTTTCTCCCTGACGAAGCGAACGACGATTTGTAGAATATTGAACTTCCCAACCATTAAAATGCCATACCCTTCGGATTTCTTTAAAAAGTGTATTAGGAAAATATCAACCCGTAATAAGAACTTGTCCTTCGTGCAACATAAATTACTCCTGAAGGATTTCTTAAATTTGTAAATCGATATTTTTCGAAAGTAGTGGAGCCAAAGGGCAAGAGATGGAGCGAAAGGTTCGATGTTGAGCGCAAGGCGATATTAATTTGGCATATTAGGAGGAGCGTAGTCTATGAATTTTTATATATAAAAGCTTTAGAAGTTAAAATAGACATGATCAAGTGTTGAGACTGAGATATAAATATACCTTTAAAGACAACATCCTTTCAACGACTATAGCGTAATAAATGTAATCGCAAAGGTGTCACCTATGGCTGTGGATAGATTCCATAATTTATGTTCCAAATTTGGATGACGCCCGATCATTGAATCATATGGCGTAAAACAGGGTGCCACTTAACCGAGGTCAATCATGATTTTGACACAGTTATGTACATTTAAAAACGTGTGTCCGTGCAAATTCGACAAATCGAATATTTTAAGTTCTACCGCGAACAAATGTTTCCGAACAGGTACATGTACCGCGATTGTTCCCGCCAAATGTTATGTTTTTCAAAAAGTTAGATATTTATCGTGCAGAACAGAGACAAAATTATGCAATACACGGGGAACATAAAATGGATCACTACTACCGAGTTCATTTTACTACAACTTTCTCTAATTAATAGCTCTAACGTACATGTTCAGATCAAACACAAATAAGCCACGTTTTCATGAAATAGAAAGACTATTGTAAGGTTGGGAATCTCTATGAAAATGGTTGACAAAGTGTCAGTCGTTTTAAGGATATGAAATATGATAAACATGATCAACAAGGAAAGGCGGCGTTCAATGAACGCGACCCAGCAAAAAGACTTTAACCGGTGGCAAGGAGCCCAGGAGACCCCCAATCAAAAACAGGACAGAGCGCGATGCGGAGCACGGACAGGTCAATCACTTATTATAAAATGAAACATGAAAAGAAATCATCAAAGCCGACAAGGAAAACAAAGAAGAAAGATAAATTACTGCTTCACAGAATCACAAAGTAAAGGGGCATAGGGGAAGGGGATACGAGACCCGGGGAAGGGGGTGTTATATAATTGTTGCAGTTATGTTTCAAGATACTTTCTTTCTTATTTAGCATTGTTGTTTAGTTTACCATTTTCCTCTCAAAGTATAAATGGAAATGTTCACTTTTATAATCAAACACTGCATATTGTTAGTACAAATCTTGGTTAATGAAAGAAAAAAAAATGAGTGTAAAATTTTGTTCGTTTATTCAGAGTATCTATAAACAAAACGAACGTAATAAAAAAGGCAGTGCTCAATCGGTGTAAAGTCCAAAATTATTAATAATTGAAAGACCCAGTTATAGTAGAAATAAATTAATATCTTATCATATTTTTCCGGCTTCACATTTTAGTACGTCTATTTTAACTTTAAAAGATTTTATTTATAGAAATTTGTAGACTATGCTTTTTACACCAACTTAATGTCGCCTTGCGCCCAACAACCGACCTTTCGCTCCATCTCTTGTCCTTTGGCTCCACTACTTTTGAAAAAAATCGATATACAAATTTAGGAAATCCATCATGATTAGTTTATTTTGCACTAAGGACAAGTTCTTATTACGGGTTGATATTTTCCTAATACATTTTTTAATGAAATCCGAAGGGTATGGCATTTTAATGGTTGGGAAGTTCAATATTCTACAAATCGTCGTTCACTTCGTTAGGGAGAAAAGTTCTCCCGGGCTTAATAAAATTTTGTTTTCGTAACAGCTTAGATCATTGAAAGCCTAAAACAATCCTACACGGAACTACATTTTCCGTTTTTCGAAAAAATACAACTTAAATGAATAACAAGACAAAAACATAAACAACACTTGCAATTATTCGTTTAAATCGGCCTTCCGCTCTATCACGGAAATGCCGTTCGCTCGTTTTACCGTACACCACAATTTTGAAGTGGAGCGACAGTTTGCCAGGCGTGAGCTAGCCACTTCCAATAATTTTATTGGCGTAAAACATATAAGTTTAAAGCCATTAAAATACGTGTGGTGGCTAAGGACACTTCAAACTACTTGCCCTTCACCGCTGTGGGTTCAAATCCCAACAGGGACTTTGGATTATTTCATTTGAGTAAGCTATCCAGCTAGCTTACAGAGCATCAATGGTTCTACTTAGCTAGGTGCCCATTCAGATCTGAAATAATGCACAGAAGGGAACCCGAGGTCTTCCTCCACAAATAAAGCTGGAAAGTCGCCATATGACCTATACTTTGTTGATGCCATGTAAAACCAGACAAAATTTAAAAATAAATAGGAAATACATTTAAGTCAAATTGTGTGAAACTAAAACACCCAAAACTTAGATATTTGGCATGGTAATGTTTTGTGGATCTCTACAAACTGACGTTATATTTGCCCTGCTCCTGGGGCCAAATTACTTATAACCCACAAACAATTTTGCAGGGCTATATAGGAATCACTTAAATTTGTCCTGATCTGTTTCGTCTAGTCCAATCCTGTCCAATGTCAAGAACTGGTAGAGACATCAAAACAATATCACAATGCAACTAACTGTATGTCAGTTTCATTTCTGAGATATATGTAGTTACTTTGTTTAAATTTTAACTTTCACTATTTTTTGCCATGATTGACTGTAACAGTTAAAAATCCTGTATGTTTTTACTGTGTGTATACCACACTTGCAAAAAATTATATATGTAAATAATTATGAAAATAAAACAATTTTCAAACATCAAAGAATATGTAAAATGTGTACTGTAAATATTTGTGCACATTATATTTAATCAATAAATTATATGCATTCATTTAAATTTCTTATTAGAAAATTTGACTTAGAATTTATAGGAAATAAATTTCTAATTACCTCCCTTTATTTACATGAAATGTTAAATTCGGTAATATCTTTATAAATAATGCTTGTTGGAACTTACAATATTGACAAAACTATATTTAAGCATCATTTTTATGCAATATAACCATGAAAAAATGTGTTACAGGATCTTTAATTAGTCTATGGAATGTCAACTGTAATTCAAATTTTTATCAAGTAAGAATACATCCATCTTGAATCATTAATTATTCTAAACTCATAGCCTTTATATCTGAACATTAGGCACATCTGCATATTGTCTTTCATTTCACATGCTGACTCCCAAATTCACTAGACACTACTGCATTATGGCAATTGTATAGAAACAACAAGAGTGACCCCCCCCCCCCCCACCAAGGCCAATATTGGCTCAAGTGACATGATTAATATAATTTTGTAGAGGTCCATACAGTAATTCTGCAAGCCAAAGATCTAAGCTCTGGGCATTGCAGTTTCACACAATAAAACTCGAATGTGTTTTCCTATATAAGTCTATATAAATCAATTGACCCCCAGGGTGTGGGAAGTTTTGATCTGAGGAAGCACAAACCTCCCTTCTGCACATCATCTCACTATAAGTTACATTTCTGCTTGATAGTTTTAATTCCCTCTATTGGTTCAAAAGATACAGATTGAAATTCACATATAATGACTGTGTGACCATTGTGTTGAGCAGCAATAGTATGGTGATATTTGACATAGAACTTCCAGTAATGCCTTATTATTAAGGAATGGGATAAAGTAATAAAATTTATCTGTGAAATTATCACATAATCAAGGAAACCAGTCTTTATTTACATTTGTTTATAACATATTTTGACAGCATGCTAGTGTAAGATTTTTTTTGTCGCATTAAGTGCAACTGTAAAAAAGTATTCTATTAACACAGTGTTCCAGCAAAGGTTAAATATTTACATCAGAATTATGTTACATCATCAAATAAACAGTCAAATCAAAACAATTATGTCCCTAGGACTTGAGCTTACAATTCCAATGTCCATTGAACATATGTTTTACTAAATGAGCTACATGAGTGGTTTAAAACCCTCTTAAAAACAGATGATTATGTCTTTTATGTAAAGAGATGTGGAAAAAAAACACCTTTTTACAGGAAAATATATATGATCAAACAGCTTTCAGAACAGAATGAATTGTAGTTCCATCAAGTATAATCATCATTACTTGAACATCACTTCTGGTGTATGCATTTCTGTGGATACCCTAAAACAAAACATGAAATATTGCAATATAAAAAAGATCATGATAGCCTTAAATCAGCAAAACTTGATACGAACGATATAAATGGGACAACATTTTCATTAAGCTTATAATGTTTAAATTTTATCCAGGCTTTTCCATTGTTAGCTCATTTGACATTTTATATGGCACTGTAGAAAGTTTGATCAGTAAGAGAACCGCATGCAGTGTTAATGCTCGTTTGTAAAGGGCAACAACTATCAAGGTCAGCTAGTAATCAAATTATCAAACATTGGTGTGGTCATAAGTGTTGTTTTGTCAAGTTTCTCAATTGTATTAAACAATAATAAATAACAAAGTTTTGGTAATATAATCAAACTTCAATAACTTGACCTTGATGGTCAATTTAAGATCCAAGCATAAACCAAATCTGTAAATAAATAACAAAGTTATGACAAGTTTGTCAGATGTCATCTTTGTCCATGTATAAATCAAATCAATAAATGAATAACAAAGTTTTGAAAATTTAAGACACTTTCAATAATTTGACTTTGATGGTCAAAATCAGATAAAGGTCAAGGTTATATTAGAAAAATTGAACAAGTCAGTTTTGTTATATATGATCTTTCGTCCAAGTATAAATTAAATAAAATAACAAACAGATGAAAATTTAAGCAACTTTCTATAATTTGAACTTAACAGTCAAGGTCAAATTAGAGGTCAAGATATTATTTTAATAATTAAATATAAGGGTTTTGTCAAACGTGTTGGCTACCTTAAGAAAAATTCACTAATATGTCGAGGTTAAATTAAGGTCAAGCAATTACAAATAACCTTAGTATTGCAAGTAATACAAAAGTCCTCTACTGGTTAAAACCCCACATGAAATATGTCAGCAACATTTTGAAGGGTCATGACCATTTAATTATGCCATTGTAGAAGACATAAATGAACTTTTGAGTTCTTATGTTTGTCTGAATCATCGTAATGTGTTAGGTGTCCCTGCCTAATGTGTCTATCAAGGATTTCCATCTTAAAACCTAAGCTAGAACTATCAAAACAACCTTTCTTACAAATTTTCAGAATATTTGGGCTGAGAATATAACCTCTAGAAATGAAATGACAAGAAACATGGCAATGCCACGAAACCAGGTTTTCAATTATCACCATTGTAGATAAATATGTTGTATTTGAAATACAAATAAAGCAACAAACAATGTAACTATGTGCAATGTAAAACATGAATAATATAGGAGGAATTGCCACAGAAGAAGTGTTCACTATATATTCTGTATAAGGAAAAAACAAGATTGCATTTGAGAAAAATGCTATGCCACCGCATTAATATAATACTAAATAATAGTGTAGGAACAGATTTTTTTTGTTTCTATACAATTTTGAAGATTGTCATAATGCATAGATCCCTGACGTTATAAATAATTTAATTCTTATTATCAGATTAGTGGTTAAATCTGTTGTTAACTTAATAAAAGATCAGAGTAGGAATATATCAATGCACGCGAGTCTAGTGAATTTGGTGGTGAAGGTCATATTTCACACATCCTAAATTTCATGACTACATCAAAGGACAATACAGTAAGACACTTTGTCAAAATCTAGGTCAGCTGAAATCAAAGTTCACTTTACATCTTAATCTGTGCACAATTTTGGTTCAAATTTCATAGCTGTACATCAAAGGACAAGAAAGTAGGTCACATCATCAAAATCTAGGTCACCTGATATCAAAGTTCAATTTTACAACTAAAACTGTGCACATGGTCAAGATTTCATTGCTGTACATCAAAGGACAAGAAAGTAGGTCACTGTCCCCTTGGGCAAGGCAAAATTTTGGACCCAAGGGTTTAATTCAAAACAATCTTGATACAGGTCCACCAAACAACATTTCAAATCAAATATCTAAGCTGTAGCTTTCTCCCATTCAGAAAACATTTGTTTTATTTTCTGCTTTTACTATGTGTACATAATGAGAATCACTGCCCCCGGGCAGGGCCAATTTTGACACCAGGGGAAAAATTTGAACACCTTTGGTAGAGGACCTATAGATGATATTATATAGCAAACATCAAAGCTCTATGTCTTGTACCTTCAGACAAAAATATTTTTTGTTTTTTTTACTATATGTACATAATGAAAATCAATGACCCCCGGATCGGAACCAATTTTGACCCCATGGCTATAATTTGAACAATCTTGGTAAAGGTTCACTTCGCAAAGTCTCATGCCATATATTTAACCTCTAGCCTATGTCAATTCAAAGAAGAAGATTTTTCAATTCAGAGAAGAAAATTTTTCAAGTTTTTATTTTATACATATAAGGAAAACTATCGCCTCTGGAGCAGGGCAATTTTAACACTAGGGGCATAATTAAAACAACTTTTGTAGAGGACCCATAGATGATATTATATACCAAATATCAAAGCTCTAAGCCTTGTACCTTTAGACAAGAAGATTTTAGAATTTTTTACTATATGTACATAGTGAAAATCAATGACCCCTGGGGATGGGCCAATTTTGACCCCAGGGCTATAATTTGTAAAATCTTGCTAGAGGTTCACTACACAATGTTTCATGCAAAATATCTTAACTCTAGCATTTGTAAATGAAGAGAAGATGATTTTTTAAGTTTTTACTATATACATATAAGGAAAACCTATGGCCCCCGGGGCGGGGCTAATTTTGACACAAGAGACAAAATTTGAACAACTTTGGTAGAGTACATATAGATGATATCATTTAACAAATATTAAAGCTCTAAGCCTTGAACCTTCAGATAATAAGATTTTTTGATTTTTTTACTATTATGTTTATATTGAAAATCAATGACCTCCGGGGCGCGGGCAATTTTGACCCCAGGGCTATAATTTGAACAATCTTGCTAGAAGTTCACTTCTTAATGTTTCATGCAAAATATCTAACCTTTAGCATTTGTCAATTGCTAGAAGAATTTTTTTTTTTAAGTTTTACTATAAGTTTTTACTATATAAATATAAGGAAAACCAATGACCCCCGGGGCAGGGCAGATTTTGACCCCAGGGCTATAATTTGAACAATCTGGGTAGAGGTCTACCAGACAATGCCTTATGCAAAATATCTAAGCTCTAGGCCTTTTGGGTCTTTACAAGAAGATTTTTTAAGTTTTTACTATATGTACATATAGTGAAAATCAATGACCCCCGGGGCGGGGCCGATTTTGACCCCAAGGCTATAATTTGAACAATCTTGGTAGAGGTCTACCAGACAATGCCTTATGCAAAATATCTAAGCTCTAGGCCTTTTGGGTCTTTACAAGAAGATTTTTTAAATTTATTCTTATAATACCTTTTGGTTGCCATGGCAACCAGATTTCTGCATGGAATGAAATTCTTTGAACAACTTTGGAAGCCCTTCACCCAAGGATCAATCCTGCCAAGTTTGGTTGAAATTGGACTAGAGGTTTTTCACAAGAAGATTTTTTAAGTTCACTATTATAATCTATATAACACACACACACACAAACAAACACACAGGTGAATAGCTATATGCCACCGCATCGCAGATGCTGCGGTGGCATAAAAATATAAAAGGGCCATAACTCTGACAAAAATCATTAAACCGGAAAATACTGACAATATGCACAACTAGACTTGGTACTGATCATTCCTGTAAAGTTTGGATGAAATTGCAGCAGTAGTTTTTGAGGAGTAGTCCGGACAAGCTTTTGCGTATCTGGCAACACACAGAAAAAAACACCTTTTTATCAAAGGGCCATAACTCGGCCAAAAATCATTCAACCAGAAAACCCGTGCAATATGCGCAAGGACTTGAGCTACAGATCAATCCTGTTAAAGTTTCATTGAAATTGCATTAGTGGTATAAGAGAAGTAGTCCGGACAAACTTTAAAAATAAAAATTTATTAAAAAGGGCCATAACTCTGACAAAAATCATTGAACCGGAAAAAGTGCTGACAATATGCACAACTAGACTTGGTACTGATCATTCCTGTAAAGTTTGGATGAAATTGCACCAGTAGTTTATGAGGATAGTTCCGGACAAGCTTTTGTGTAATGGCAACACACAGAAAAAACACCTTTTTTATCAAAGGGCCATAACTCGGCAAAAAATCATTTTGCCCGGAAAACCCGTGCAATATGAGCAAGGACTTGAGCTACAGATCAATCCTGTAAAGTTTCATTGAAATTGCATTAGTGGTATAGAGAAGTAGTCCGGACAAACTTTAAAAATTTAAAAATTATTTAAAGGGCGCATAACTCTGAAATCATTGAACCGGAAAATGCTGACAATATGCACAACTAGACTTGGTACTGATCATTCCCTGTAAAAAGTTTGGATGAAATTGCAAACCAGTAGTTTATGAGGAGTAGTCCGGACAAGTTTTTGTGACGGATGGACGGACAGACAGACAACGGAGAAGTGATCCCTATATGTCGCCACTACTCCGTAGAGGCGACACAAAAATGATGAAAAACCTTGGAATTACCCAAAATCTAGTTTTTCCATGTGAACATGTGGCCTTTCACCTAATTTTGGTGATAAAATGGTTGTTTTGTAGCATTTTTTTTTTTTTTTTTTTTAGTTAACTCTTTCCCTCATGAGCATATTGTGAAAATGGCCGTTTTCATTGAAAAGCCTCTGTTACAAGTTGATTTATCAATCAAATACGTTCATATTTTAACTTGGATAACTTAATTTGAAATTGAAAAGGCTAAATATTGATGTTTTTAAGATATCCCGACAAAGTATGGGAGTTCCATAGGATCAAATTCATGTACTATTTCTTGGGCTGTTATTCGGTGGAGGACACGTGCGATTGTAGCAGACGAAATCCCATGTGTAGATGACATAGCCCTGAACGCGCCTAAGGGCGCGGCTGTCGCAAACTAGAAATGTGTCCATAGGACACGGATGCCCCCACACGCCACTGTTCTGTCAATCTTATGACTCTAGGTCAAATATTTTTTGGACTACATGTGCCACAAGTTGAAAACTAAAAATCAACAAAGGGCCATAATTCTGTTAAATTTGGTCGCAGCAAAAATTCCTTACTTTAAAACCATCTACACATTGAGGTTGTTCATCCCTGGAAGTTTAAGCAAAATCTGCCATTTGGTTTAAGAGGAGTTGCATTCACAAAATTTCTACATAGTATATAGTGAAAAAATCAACAAAGGGCCATAATTCTGTAAAATTTGGTCGCAGCGAAAATTCCTTCCTTTACTACTATCTACACCTTAAGATTGTTCATCCCTGTAAGTTTAAGCAAAATCTGCCACCCGGTTTAAGAGGAGTTGCGTCCACAAAATTTCTACATAGTATATAGTGAAAAAATCAACAAAGGGCCATAATTCTGTAAAATTTGGTCGCATCAAAAATTCCTTCCTTTACTACCATCTACACCTTAAGGTTGTTCATCCCTGTAAGTTTAAGCAAAATCTGCCATCCGGTTTAAGAGAAGTTGCGGTCACAAAATTTCTACATAGTATATAGTGAAAAAATCAACAAAGGGCCATAATTCTGTAAAATTTGGTCGCAGCAAAAATTCCTTCCTTTACTACCATCTACACATTAAGGTTGTTCATCCCTGTAAGTTTAAGCAAAATCTGTCATCCGGTTTAAGAGGAGTTGCGTTCACAAAATTTCTACATAGTATCTAGTAAAAAAATCAACAAAGGGCCATAATTCTGTTAAATTTGGTCACAGCAAAAATTCCTTCCTTTACTACCATCTACATATTAAGGTTGTTCATCCCTGTAAGTTTAAGCAAAATCTGCCATCCGGTTTAAGAGGAGTTGCGTTCACAAGATTTCAGGACGTACGGACGGACTGACGGACGGACGGACAAGTGCAACGCTATATGCACCCACATTGTGGGGGCATAAAAACAAGAAAGTAGGTCACTTGTCAAAACTAGGTCAGCTGATATCAAAATTAAATTTTACATCTTTAACTGTTCACATGGTCCAAATTTCATTGTTGTACATCAAAGGACAACAAGAGCACCGCTAGGCAGAGCATTATATGTCCGAAAGTGATTTTTTTAGAAAGGAGAAAGCATTTGTAAGACATGGGAATTAAATAATTTTACTATGACGGATGGTCAGAATGACGCCAGGGATATAACATAATCAAACTTTTTAGGGCACATAATTAATGTACTCAATATAAGTGATCATCCTATGAAGTTTGACAGTTGTAAAACTTTTAACAATATTAAGGTCATTTAATAGTGACCTTATGACCCCCAATATAGATATGGATCTTTTATTAAATATAGGCAATCATCCTATGAAGTTTGAACACTGTAAGCGAAATGGAACTTGTGTTATGCTCCAGAAAGCACAATTTTCATTGTTTAGGTTATTGTGACCCTGACCTTTTATCTTATGAGCCTAAAATCAATAGGGGTCATGTATTGGACATGGCTGTTCATCCTATAAAATTTTACAGCTGTACTTAAATTATTGAGCTAAAACTGTTTTCAGTTTTAAGGTAATAATGACCTTGACCTTGTGACCAAAAAATCAATAGGGGTCTTCTACTCAATATTGACAATCATCCTATGAAGTTGGAACACTGTGGGTCAAATGGAACTCAAGTTATGCTCCGGAAAATGTTTTCAGTTTTAAGGTTATAGTGACCTTGACCTTTGATCTTGTGACCCAATAATCAATAGGGTTCTACCCAATATGGACAATCATCCTATGAAGTTTGAATATTGTGGGCCAAATGGAACTCAAGTTATGCTCCGGGAAATGTTTTCAGTTTTAAGGTTATAGTGACCTTGACCTTTGATCTTCTGACCCCAAAATCAATAGGGGTCTTCTTACCAATATTGACAATCATCCTATGAAGTTTGAATATTGTGGGCAAATGGAACTTAAGTTATGCTCCGGAAACCAAATTGCTAAAGGACGGAACTTCTAACAGGAGAGTAATAATGTGGCTACTCTTTTGTCTCTGTATTGTTCTTTTTAGCCACACAAAAGAAAATAGCCACATGAAAGCATTATGGAATGAATGACATCAGAGAGAAAGAACAGTCTATTGTCCCTCTAGCCACATAATAACTGTCCTGTGAGTGTGGAAGGATGGACAGACAGACAAACGGACACACACCAGGGGGTATAACATAATATGCCCGAAATTTTTTGGGCATATAAAAAAGTAGGTCACATCATCAAATTCTAAGTCAGTTAATATCAAAGTTCAATTTTACATCTAAAACTGTGCATATGGTCCTTATTTCATAGCTGTTTATCAAAGGCCAAGAAAGTAGGCCACTGTGTCCTCATGGGCATGTCAAACTTTTGACCCCAACGCTTTAATTTAAACAATCTTGATACAGGTCCACCAGACAATGTTTTATGTCAAATACTAACATTCTCGTATTTAGAAAATTTTTTTTTTTAGTTTCTGTTTTTACTATGTTTATATAATGGAAATCAATGACCAACAAAGCAGGGCCAATTTTGACCCCTGGGCTATAATTAGAACTAATTTCGTAGAGGTCCACTTGTTTCATGCTGATTATCTGACCTCTAGCCTTTGTCAATTCAGAGAAGAAGATTTTTTAAGTATTTACTATAGACATATTAGGAAAACTTATGACGCCCTGGGGTAGGGTTAATTTTGACAATAAATTTGAACAACTATGGTAGAGGACCTATAGATTGTATTATATACATGTACCAAATATCAAAGACAGGAATTTTTTTTAAAGTTTTTACTACATGTATTTGTACATAATGAAAATTAATGACCCCAAGGACTAGGGGCCAATTTTGACCCCAGGACTTTAATTTGAACAGTCTTGGTAGAGGTCCACTACACAATATTTTATGCAAAATATCTAATCTCTATCCTTTGCCAATTCAGAGAAGAAGATTTTTTATGTTTTGACTATATACATATAAGGGAAACCTTTGACCCCTGGGACAGGGCCAATGTTGACAAAAGGGCCAGAATTTGAACAACTTTGGTAATCTACCAACCTATAGATGATATTATATAACCAAATATCGAAGCTCTAAGCCTTGTACCTTCAGACAAGAAGATATTTTAAGTTTTACTCTTTGCACATAATAAAAATCAATGATCCTGGAGCAGGGCCAATTTTGACCCCAGGACTATAATTTGAACATACTACACAATGTTTCATGCCAAATATCTAACCTCTAGCTTCTATCAATTCAGAGAAGAAGATTTTTAAGTTTTTACTATATACATATAAGGAAAACATATGAACCTACTAAATTTTAACACTAGGGACAAAATTTGAACAAGCTTGGTAGAGAACCTACATATGATATCATATACCACATATCAAAGTTCTGGGCCTTGTACTTTCAGACAAGAGGATAGTTTTATTTGACATTTTCACTTATGCAACAGACCGGGGCCATTTGAACAACTTTGCAAGGGGACCACCCAAGAACCATTCCTGTAAAGTTTGGTTACTGTGCAGTCATTGATTTCAGAGGAGATGATGTTTAAAGTAATTGTTGATGATGAAAACGATGGACAGTAGTGGATCACAATAGCTCACCATGAGCTAAAAAGTATGGCCAATTAAAGCAAAATACAACAATTTGACCTTCAAGGTCATGGTCAAGTCCAGCTTGACCTAATCAAATCAAGTCAGGGTCAAATTCTTTACAAAAAGCACAAGTAGACATCACAATTATTCCTGTCAAGTTTCATTAAAATTGGTTGTGTGGTTGTAAAGATAAAGCACACACAGATGGCCAGACAATAAGACTTATAGACTGACAGCCTCAAACCAGAATACCATCTTGCAATGTGGGGGTATAAAACCTAGAGTTAAAATATTCAAAGGGACTCATTATTAAAATTTTGCTGAAACTCTATAATTTGTTTATGTGATGATGTTAAAAGGTTAAGCCTATTTGTTATCAATCATGTAAGAGATCTTTTAAATTATGATAAAAGCAAAGCATATCAATCATTTTCAATTTCCATTCCTAGACATGTTTGAAACTTCCTCTTCCTTGACTGTACAACCTGTTCATTGAAATTCCTTCAATCTCAATAGAAAATAGCATACCAATATATGACAAAATTTTATTTCCCATCATCATCATATGGTGACCTCCCTCTTTCAGTAGAATTTCTTCTAGGTGGTGATTTTTCTCTTGAAACATTGGCACGTGGAGAACCTCCTCGTGGTGACCTGTCTCTTGGTGATCTAAAACAAACTAGAAATTGTCACAAGTGCCTTGACACACGCTTGTTAGAAAACATGCTTTTAAGTTGATAATTTTGCACACAGGGAAAATGCTGTGGTTTATAGATTTTTTCAAAGTTTTTGAATTATTTGTTCTACATCAATAAGATAAATTAAAGTTTGGATTTGGAGCTTTCATGACTTCTTTTGAGGGCAATATGTTCTTTCAAAGTGTAACAAGAGCACCTCTAGGCAGAGCATAATATGTCTGAAAGTGTTTTTTTTTAGTAAGGATGAAGCATTTGTAAGACATGGGAATTAAATAAAGGTCTTCTACCCAATATTGACTTAAGTTATGCTCCCGAAACTGTTTTCAGTTTTAAGGTAATAGTGACCTTGACATTTGACCTTGTGACCCCAAAAACAAAAGGGGTCTTCTACCCAGTATGGACAAACATCCTATGAAGTTTGAATATTGTGGGCCAAATGCAACTTAAGTTATTGTTCTGGAAACTGTTTTCAGTTTTAAGTTAATAAAGACCTTGACCTTTGACCTTGTGACCCCAAAATCAATAGGGGTCTTCTACCCAATATGGACAATCATCCTATGAAGTTTGAATATTGTGAGCCAAATGGAACTTAAGTTATGCTCCGGAAACTGATTAAAAGATACAGAGCGGACAAAAAAATTTGACCTTGACCTGAGAAAGGTCAAACCTGCACTCTGAACATCGTCTAATTATGGTTAATTTTTCTGCTAAATAGTTTGAATTTCCTTCAACCGGTTCAAAATTACAGACAGGACAAGAAAACCTTCTAACAGATGGACGGACGGACCGACAAGCTGACTCCTTTATACTCCCACTAAACTTAATTAGTGGGGGTATAACAAAGCATATTTTCGACAATGTGAATTGAAAGCATTATACAGTTAGAAATCAAACAAAATGTCATTCTGATAAAAGGTTCCATATTAAAGGGAATATAAACTAAAATTACCAACCTGCTGCGAGAATAACGAGGTGAACGGCGTCTGACTGAAGGTGAAGGTGATCTTCTGCCACCTCTGTAAGGTGACCTTGATCTAAAATAATATAATCAATAACCAATATACCCTTTCAAGATATTCAATATGATTCTAATACTATGCCAGCTAATTGTCCCAACTTTTTAGAGATTTTAGGGATTTTTTCAGAAGTAATAATGTTCCAGCAGTAGATTTCTGAAGCTATATTTCCTATGTTGGTCGAAAGTGACCCAAAATTGGACCCTCAGGGCATTATTTATACAATTTCTATACAGGACTGTAATTGTTGTATATTAAATATATAAGCTAATGGTACTGAACTTTCTTAGAATTCTTTTTTTTTTTAATTTCCTGTATCCTTTTTATCTATTGACTGGCACCATTTTCATAACCTTTGAAGAGGCCTGTGTAATTTGGTCACAAACTACATTGTGGTTTAGAAAATTTAGACAATAGGAAATTTAGCTAAATAAAGACAACGGAAGATTGTAAACGTAAAACATGCAACCAAAAAGCTCACCTCTGAGCACTTTCTGTAATGAATTTAATATTATGTATATAAAGTCTATTGTACAATGAATGACCCTAAGTAGATTTCTACATTGACTTTTTATTTATATAAATGTTTTCATGATATATTTAGTCATCCAAGGGACGTTAAGAAAAAGGTCACCATAACAGGTAACAGGGAGTCTCTTAATTCAGTCACAAAGAATATTGAAATTTTAAAACCATCTATATACCATTGTGACATAATTTGATGTAAATAAAATAAGAATGCCTGTAAAACGAAAATAATCGCATGTACAGTTAAACTTCGTTCGCTCGAACTCGGATTGCTAGAATACCTCCTTTCGATCGAACTCATCGCCTAGTCCCGGCAAACTTCCATTATAATATACATTGTTCTTCCACTGATCGCTGGAACACCGATTGCTCAAGCTGTCGAACCTGATCTCTATTCCCTTCAGCAGAAACAAAGTAAAAATCACATCTTCTGGGTCGAACACAAAGACAACAAAAGTTGCGGGTCGACATGTTCTGAATCAGTGACACATGATTTTAACACCTCGTGATAAAGGCAATTAAGGTTAATTGACATAAAGTCAGAGGTGTTTGTTATGATAATATTGTTACGGTATTTGCCGTCATGAGTTACGATAACAGCTTTAATTACAGCCGCTGTATATGTAACGTGTATTGTATGGGACCACATGTTGATATTGCATACCAAATATCAAGAGGCTGCAATAAGTAGTTGCTGAGAAAACTGTTACGAACATTTCCTACCAATCACCTATAATGTTGAAGTCTAAGTAAACAGGAAGTGGATGAGTGACAAACCTGAATCCCACAGTATGGGTCCATGTGTAAATGCTGAATGCTAAATATCAAGAGGCAGTGATAAGAGGCTGAGAAAACTGTTACGAAAATTTTTCCCTGACCCAGCCAACCCGCCAAGCGCCCATCATTCACCATTCTTTAACCCAGGTTTGCAAATGTGCAAACCAGCCAAAAATAGGTCAGCCGATATCAAAATTGTGCATCAAAAATTACACCCCTGGTCCAAATTTTAAGTCTGTACTTAAAAAAAACAACAACAAGAAAGTAGGTCAAACAATATCATTAATATCAAAAAAAAGTCAGTCGAGATCAAAACTCAATTAGGCATCAGAAATTATGTTTATGGTCCAAATTCATGTCAGTTTGATGACAATTGAGTCAAAAATGTGACACATAGAGTGTTTACAAGGTTTTTCCATATTTGGGCAGTGTGATTTTTTTAACCCCAGGTGACCCATATTCAAACTTGACCTAGAAATCATCAAAACAATCTTTCTGATCAATTTTCATGATATTTAGATAAAATCAGTAGCCACAAAAGTGTTAACAAGATTTTTCTATTTTTAGTTCCTGTGACCTTGTTTTTCATCAGAGATGACCAATGTTCGAACTCATCCGAGCAATAACCTAGACAAGCAAACTGACCAAGTTTGATGACAATTGAGTAAACAAGAGCTGTCACAGGAGACAGCCAAGCTAGACTAATAAAATACTGGACGCAGTAAGGAGGACAAAACTATGAAAGAAAAACCAATTATGTATAATTATGTATTAAGTAATAGTAAAGAAATATCATTTGTTAACATAAATTCCAAGATCAAGGGGAATAATTCTAGAAAAAGTCATGCTAGAGTTATGAACCTTTCACACAACATGTGTGTAATGATAAGAAATATATATTTGAAGTTTGAAGTAGATACCTAAAAAGTAAAGAAGTTATATTTCTTAAAGAAAATCCTAAGTTCAAAGAAAGATAAATCTGTAAATATTGCTTCAAGAGTTACGAACATTGTCACATAAAATGTAATTGATGATAAGGAATAAGTATTTGAAGTTTGAGGTAGATACCTTTAAAACTAAAAAACTTATATTAAAAAATAACATTTTTCAAGTAAAAAAATCTAAGTTTATGGGGAGATAATTCTTGCAATATTAGTGCTAGAGTTATGAACCTTGCCACATAAGATGGGGATGACATATATTTGAAGTATGAGGTTGATCCCTTAAGAAATAAAAAAGTAACAGTAAAAAATAGTATTTTTTAAGGAAAATTCTAAGTTCAAGGGGAGATAAATCTGTAAAAATAGGTGCTAGAGTTATAAACCTTGTCACATAAGATGTGGTTGATGATAAGGAACATATATTTGAAGTTTGAAGTTGATACTTTAAGAAATGATTAAGTTATAGTGAAAAATATTTTACTGCACCAAAACTTTAATCTGAAATCTGGACGCTGACGCCGACGCCGGGGCGAGTAGGACAGCTCTCCATATTATACTTTGTATAGTCGAGCTAAAAATGTGACCACTAAAGTATTAACAAGGGTTTTCAATATTTTGGAGTAGTGACCTAGTTTTTGATCTCAGGTGACCCATATTCAAAATTGACCAAGAAAATCATCTAAACAAACTTTCGTACCAATTTCCAGGATATTTAGATCAAAACAAAGTGTTAACAAAATTTTTCTATTTTTAGCTACCATGACCTAGGTTTTCCTCTGAGATGACCCATGTTTGAACTAATCCTAGCAATTACCTAGATAGCATCCTGACAAAATTTGATGATGATAGAGGCAAAAAAAGTGACAGACAACGGACATTCAACAATCCTGAAAGCTCACCCTGACTTAGCTCAGGTGAGCTAAAAAGTTTAAAAGTATATTGTTAACACTGGTGATCTTGACCTTGACCTAAATCATAAAATGAACCTTAAATCCCTCCAAAGGATGAATAAAGGCTCACAGTCGTGGTGCATGTAACGTGAATTGTAATTGTGTTCCTAAATCATAAAATGAACCTTAAATCCCTCCAAAGGATGAATAAAGGCTCACAGACGTGGTGCATGTAACGTGAATTGTAATTGTGTTATCTATTTATAGAATGATACTTGTATGTGTGTTTATGTAAGTAAATGACTACAAATAGATGCTGCTGTAAAATGTATTTTAAAATATTTTATTAATTCATCATAAAATTTATCCCATAATAAACATATAAATATATTTTGGACATTGTTCAACATGTTTGAAAAATGATTGCCCAATCAAACTCAACCAATTACAAGATTAACACAGTGTACCATTAATATTCATTTGAAAACATTAGGATAATAATTTTTAATGTTTAAAAGAAGGACGTATTCGATGAACTGATGTATTATCAAACAATTATATTGACGTATTTATCATTCGACCGATGTCAGCTGGCAAACCCTTAGGCCTATATCCTATGTGATAATAGTTAAACCTGGGTTTGCTCGAACTACCGATTGCTCAAACAAATTTGCAAAGGCCCTCAGAGGTCGAGCGAACGAAGTTCAACTGTAACAGGGAAAAATGGATGGTAAAAATATTTATAGAAGGGAAATAACTGGGAACAAGAGCCATGTCAACATAGCCATCCCTCGCCGAATGTGTTTGCTCATTGGAAGAATAAATATGTAGTAGAGCAGAATAAATCAATTTTAAGAGGTCTTTTGGTAATGAAAACTGATGGCTGAAGTGATTACAGATTTGAAACCTATGTGAATACTGATGGCTGAAAATAACAAACGGCAATAACTGAAAAATAATGCAGGGTAGGTTATCATTCTTGTGTGCTGCACTCCTCCTAAATGAGACCTATCCACCTATGAAGTTTCAAGTTCATATCTCAAAGGCTTTTTTAGTAATGCTCTGGACAAAAATTAAGCATGAAAAATAACAAAGGGCAATAACTGAAAAATTATGCAGGGTAGAGTTATCATTCTTGTGTGCTGCACTCCTCCTCCATGAGACCTATCCACCTATGAAGTTTCATGTTGATATCTCTAAGGCTTTTTTAGTAATGCTCTGGACAAAAATTAAGCATGAAAAATAACAAAGGGCAATATCTGAAAAATTATGCAGGGTACAGTTATCATTTTTGTGTACTGCAATCCTCCTCAATATGATCTATCCACCTATGAAGTTTCAAGTTGATACCTCTCACACTTTTTGAGATAAGCTCCAGACAAAAAGTATGAAAAATAACAAAGGACAATTACTCAAAAATTATAATGGGAAGAGTGATTGTTCTTGTGCACAGCATTTCTCCTCAATAAGATCTATCCACCTATGACATTTCATGTTGACATCTCAAAGACTTTTTGAGTTATGCTCCACTCAAGTGAAAAATTAAGTATGAAAAATAACAATGGGCAATAACTAAAAAAATAGGGTAGAGTTATCATTCTTGAGCACTGCACACCTCCTGAGTGAGATCTATCCACCTATGAAGATCTCATAAGCTTTTTGAGTTATGCTCTGGACAGAAATTGCTTTTTGAGTTATGCTCTGGACAGAAATTAAGTTTGAAAAATAACAATGGGCAATAACTGAAAAATTATGCAGGGTACAGTTATCATTCTTGTGCACTGCAATCCTCCTCATTATGATCTATCCATCTGTGAAGTTTCAAGCTGATACCTCAAATACTTTTGAGATATGCTCCGGACAAAAATGTCGGACGGATGGA